AGCTTGAATTGTATATGTCACAGCTTATTTTTCCATGCTGAGTGAATAGTCTAAAGCATGGCCTCAGCTTCCTGGCAACATTCAGAAATTTCACTGCCTCCACCACACTATTTAAAGAGAACTGAGGAGTGCTGTTGTGCCTGACAAATTGGAAGCAATAGAAGTTTGACAGTGAGCTGCAACTTGTGGTATACGAGACTTCCCATTAAATCAAAAAACAAAGCTTGTGTTTTTCACCTCTGTTAATTTTCCCGCTTTTCAATCCCCACACTGAAGCATTAGGTATTGTGTAGAGCATTGCGCAGCATTTTTTGACCAAATATGGCATCAGTTAAAGCCTAAGCTTTGGAAGTCAGTCATTATATCTGATTTCCAGCAATCTCTACTCCTGACTGGTACTGGTTTACCTTCATTGTTCAGACCTTTGAGTATAGAAGTTGGGACGTCATGTCGAGCTTGTACAGGACGCTGGTGAGGCCTGTTCTGAAGTATTGTGTGCAGGTCTGGTTGCCTTGCAGAAGGAGATTAGCAAACTGGAGGGGGTTCAGAAAAGATTTACCAGGATCTCGCTGGGAATGGAGAGTTTGAGTTATAGAAATAGGCTGGATAGGCTGAGACGCTTTTTCCACTGGAGCATAGGACGTTGAGGGGTGACCTTATGGAAGTTTATAAGATCATGAGGGGCATAGATAAGGTGAATAGCAAGGGTCTTTTCCCTAAAGGTAGTGGAGTTCTAAACCAGGGGCATATTCTTAAGGTGAGAGGAGAAACTTTTAAAAAGGACATGAGAGGCAACTTTTTTACACAGAAAGTGGTTCATGTGTAGAATAAACAGCCAAAGGAAATGGTAGATGCAGGTACAGTTACAACAACTAAAAGGCATTTGGATAAGTACATGAACAGGAAAGGTTTGGAAATATGGGCCAAGCACAGGAAAATGGGACTGGTTAGGATGGGAATGTGGTTGGTGTGGACTAGTTGAACCAAAGGGTCTGTTTCTGTGCCGTATGGCTCTCTATGACTCTATGGCTTAGACTTCCTGCAAATCCTGTCACACTTCCCTTCCATTCTCCCTACTCTGTACATAGTTGAACTCTGACCATTGTGGTCTTTTCAATCTTGAAGTTATTTAAATGCAAGAAGAGGGTTTCATGGCATTTGCCATGGAGCCGTGCCAAAATAAGGATGCAGTTTTGTTGCAACAAACACAAAACCCACAGTGGCTCAGTGGTTAACACTGATGCCTCACAGCGACAGGGACCCGGGTTCGAATCCACCCTCAGATGCCTGTCTGTGTGGAGTTTGCATGTTCTCCCCGTGTCAGCGTCGTTTTCTGCTGGTTGCCTCGATTTTCTCTGAGAGTCCAAAAATGTGCAGGCTAGGTGGTTTGGCCATGCTAAATTGCCCCTAGTGTTCAGGGAAGTGTAGATTAGGTATGTTAGGTGTGGGAAATGCAGGGTTACAGGGAAAGGGTTGGCGGGGGGAGGGGGGTCTGGGTGGGATGTTCTTCGGAGGGTTGGTGTGGACTTGTTGGGCCAAATGGTCTGTTTCCACACTGGAGGGATTCTAAGAAGCTGCTTTAGATTAAGTAAGACTGTTGGATACCTGGAGCATCCATGTGACCAGTATTCAAAAAAAAATGCAAACTGTGTGGATGATAACATAGACAGACATACTTCCTTGATTTGCATCTCATTGTCTCTAATCCATGGGAAGACATGATGTCTGTAGGTTCTGGCAGCAAGAAACTGAAATAATATGATGTGGGGAATTAAATGAAGCATTCTGCAGATCCATTAAAAGAAAGTTGATTGTGCAGGTATAAAGGGCCATTGACTTGAGGCAAAATATTTGTGTGATACCTCTTGTACTCTTTTCCCTTCTCCATATGTTATCCTCCTGTTGTAAACTTGTTCATGCCGTCTACAATGAGACTTTTCATATTGCCTAGGTTTCTTAAATTCTTTACTTTTTAAGATATTTACATTGGGTACTTACTGTAATAACATGAACAAAAGTAAAATGAAGTCACTAATTGAGAATTCTACTCTTTCAGGTGCGGGATTTCTCCACTCTCATTTTAGTAAGATCTTCACACGCGCAGCAACCTGATGACCATCAGCAGATTATTCATGGAGAAAGTCAGTATCAGTTTACACTTTCAATTTGATAGTGCCATGATGCATTAACTGAGAGGTGCAAATAATATTTCAATGCTAGCGCTCACATTGAAGTGGGAATCTGATCAGAAATTACAATTTGATGCAAGGCTTTCTAAAAACAAATGTTAGATTTGTGCAGAATTAAGACACCAAAAATTCAAAGTCCAATATATTGATTTTTTACTTTCCTCATGTATGAGAGCAACTTGTGTTGCCACTTTTATTTTGAGGTGGGATGTCGGTGCTGGTTATGAAGCACTCAGTGCTAAACAGACCTTGATTAGTTACAGTATGGACCAAATTTTGGATATACAGCCTCTATCCTTCCCAACATTGTTCTACTAGTAGTTTCTCTATTACTGTATATGTTAGACAGTTGTGTGCCTTGTTGCAACTAGATTTGGTTTGAGAGAATTGAGGAACTCAGCCTTACCTGACTGTTATCCAGTACCTTAGAAAGAAAAATTAGCTTTGAAATGTGCAAGTTTCATTTCCAGTGCCCTTTTTATATAGGACCTGAAACAACCAATTCATGTAAAAGCCATCCTATTCAGTCTATTGTCCAATTACTCCAAGTGCAAATCTGGCTTTTTTTAAAAAAAAAAAGATTCTTGAATACTTCTGGGCCCATTCTTTCTCAACGTTCTTAAAGTAGCTTCTAGTCTTCATGAAGAAAATCTCCAACTGCCTTGACCAAATTCACAGAAGACATCTCTGTGACTGACATTGCATGTTATCCTTTTCAGACTTTGCATATTGTTAATTAAACAATAAGCAGCAACATCTTTCTGCACTGATTTTCCTATTCCACTGGTTTGAATGAAAAAAGTATCGAACAGCTTTACTATTGCCCTGTTGGTTTATAATTTCTCCTGTTTTGCACTGATGCCTAAAATAACTTTTCTAAATAATCCCTGACTGTATTTTGTTTTGGAAGTTGTTAAAGCAGAGAGCTTGTAAATGTACTGTAGTACAACTTTTATCACTTAATTACAATGTACCTTATCATTTTCTGTTCATTCCAGAAAGTGGATTATTAGAAGAAGATAGAAGGTGGCATTTAGTCCGGCCAGCAGATGAAGTAGATGAAAGTAAATCAAAGCGTGGCAGCATGAAGGAGAAAGAAAGGACCAAAGCTATCACAGAAATATATTTGACAAGACTTTTGTCTGTAAAGGTGAGATTTAGTGTGTATTTTCAGTCATTTACTTAAAATAGAACTTATCAAAATTGTCAATTTTTTTTATACCCTGAACGAAACCATCAACTGGGAAGGTGAACAGTTTTACAACAAAATGTTAGCTACTTTATCAGTCTACCTTTTCCTTCAGTGCTGACAACTAGGCCCTGCAGACTGTATTTGGAACAGAACAATGCTCAGACTTAAATAGTGTCTTAAACCAGAGATGCCTAAATTTTGCATATATGTAAAGTTTATTTACATTCGAGCTGTTAATTCTACTGGATCTTTGTTGAAATTGGATCAGCATAACTGACATCTGTTGAAAGCAGATTTATTAGCAATTGCTCATGCTTATGACTTATGATACACTTAAATTTCTGGACCTGGACAATTTGACTTCAGTTATCACATTTTTATCAGTTTTGTATTGATTATATATTAGCTGCTCACATTTATAATGGAAATCATCTTTGCAAATTTGTCACACTGAAGTTGTGTCCTTCAAGTGTTAGAGAAAAATACAACAAAAATGCTCAATTTTAATTTCTCCTCTTTCCCCCAAAGCCACAAAGTCCTAATTGGGATAAAATTTCATAAATGTTACTTGATCATGTATATTTACCTAAGTGGCTGTTATCGTATGTGAACTTATGTAATTATTGGAATGTTAAATGACTAAGCATCATTACAAATTGGCTAATCATGTCTTTTAAACAGTGTGAACATATATGCTAACAAAAGGATCTTTTTTGAGTAACTGTGAGGAGCAGGATTGTCTGTTTCACCCCTCATTCTATGCAGCTGGGAACCATCAAGACTACAGTAGGAATCAAACCTTCCTGGTTTGTATAGCTGAACTACTGAGTGAATTGTTGAGAAGTACTGAATGTATTTAAAAAGAACATTACATGTTGCTTGTAACAGTAAAGGAGTTGGAAATGCAAAGTGGTCTATTTCCATTGTATAAAGTGGTTTCCTCTTATCAAGAAAAGAAGTTTAACCTCTATTTTTGACTAAAACAGGGAACACTTCAGCAGTTTGTAGATAATTTCTTCCAAAGTATTCTCAGTACGAATCAATTCATTCCAACGGCTGTGAAATACTATTTTGACTTCCTTGACGAGCAAGCACGCAAAAATGAAATAAACGACGAAGAGACTATTCATATCTGGAAAACCAACAGGTAAGAACACCCGGATTACTTGTTGTCCACAATATGTTCATTTGTTTTTAAGAGGGTATTTCTGTGCTTTGGGCATCCTGCTTCCATCAGCATACGTTTTTATCTTTACTGCCTGGGTGTTGAACACAAAACTGAGAGGAGGGCTACACAGGACATCAAAGGACATAGACAAGTTGTTGGAATACAGTAGGTGACTGATGAAGTTCAATGCAGAGAAGTGAGAAGTAATACATTTTAGTAGGAATAATCTGGACAGGCAATACAAATAGGTTATATAATTCTAAAGGGGGTGCAGAAACAGACAGACATGGGCATGCACAATCAGTTGGGAAGACAGGTGGAGACATGTTAATAAAGCATACGGTATCCTGGACTTTATTAATAAGGGCATAAAGTGCAAGAGCAAGGAGGTTATGCTGAACTTCTCCAGATCTCACCTGGAGTCTGGGCACCTCAGTAAGGATGTGGACACACTGGAGAGAGTACAGGTGACAAGAATGATTCCAGGGATCAGAAACTTTAGTTGTGAGGATAGATTAGAGAGGTTCGGATGGTTCTTCACAGAGAGGAGGAGGCTAAGAGGAGATCTGATAGAAGTTTACAAAATCATGAGACTTCTAGATGGAGGAAAAACTGTTCCTGCTCGTAAAGGGGCTCAGGGAAGAGGGCACAGATTTAAAGTGATTTGTAAACATGGCAAATGTGAGTGTAAAAACCTCTTAGCACAAATGGATTGGGTCTGGGAACACTGCTTGGAAATGTGATGGAGGCAAGATCAACGGAGGCATTCGTGAAGGTGCTGGACGATTGTTTCTATAGAAACAATGTGCAAGGGTATAGGGAAAAAAGCAGATGAATGGCACAAAGTCAAAATGCTTATTGGAGAGCTGGTGCAGACAGGGTGGGCTAAATGAGCTCTTTCTGTGCTATAACAGTTCTGTAATACTATGGCTAAAAACAGGGCAAAAGCTAGGAATTCTGTGGCGAGTGACTCCTCTGTTGATTTCCCAAAGTATGTTCACCATCTACAAGGCAAAGTCAGGAATGTGATGGAATACTCTCCAATGACTTGGATGAATGCACCACAAGTATGTCAAAGCTTGACATCATCCAGGAAAAAGCAGCCTACTTAATTGTCTGTATCTATCCATCATCTTCGCCATTTACACTCTTTGATACTGATGATCAACAGTAGTACCTATGTGCCATATACAAGATATACTGCAGCAATTCACCAAGCTTCCTTCAAAAGCACCTTCTAAACTTAACATCCTGTACCACCTGCATGAAAATAGAATGACCCAGAGTTTGCCTCTTAGTCATATAACACTGTGACTTGGAACTGTGAATTTGTGTTTTATTTCCTGTTAGTGGGTCAAAATTATGGAAGTCCATAACAACCAACAATGCGGGTTACATAGACCATGCAAACTGTTGGTGCTCAACCAAACTGGTTCTTGAGGGCAGGCCTAGTCACTGGGGTCCAAATCTCATGAAAATCTTTTTAAGAAATAAAAAGCTTTCCCTCGTCCTTTCTTGTGAATTTTTTTGTTTTAATAATCATTTTAAGGTACAGATCCTGAATGATCTGGACAAAGTGCACACGGAAAGGATGTTTCCAGAGCTGTCTCCCAATGAATGATTGCTGCTTCAGGACACAGATGAGGAGAATGTTTGTTTGTTTTTCCTGAGGGCTGCACGAGATTGCAACTCCCAGCCTCAGACTGTGGTGAAGGAGGGATGTTATTTTTAAGGAAGATGGATACATTCTTGTTAGGATGGGGAATCAAAGCAGTCAGAGACAATTGGAAATGTGGAATTCAAAATACAAACAGTTCAGCCATGATCTTTTTTGAATGGCAGAGCAGGCTCAAAGGGCAAACTAGTCTGTTTCTCCTAATTTGTATGTTTGTATGAAACTCTGCAGCTCAACAGAGACATACGACCCCAATCAGCTTCCACATCACCCCATCGGACTCCCCTTCTGGAATCCATCTGGTTATTGTCAGAGCTGCAATGTCATGGAGTGCAGGGGTTGATTGAGCATTGTTGGTGAGAGAGGGTGGAGGGAGGTAAACACCATAATAACCAAGAGGGACACTGCAGGTTGAATGGAGGGGTAAGAGGGAGGTTCCAATGCAAAATGGTCAGAAGTGCCTCCCGACTAGTGGTTTTTTTTTTCTCCCCTGCATCACTGCTGGAGTGGACAGCAGAAGATTGTAATTTTCTAGCATAAAATAATAAGAGGCAATTCAAATCACAGCCTGTGTCAGATGCTCCCTTTCTAATGCAGACTTAATGATCTGAACCCTGTTTTGGGATAGTGGAAGCCATGTACTATAAGTGAATTTGTGGTATATTGATCTATGCTATATTGGACCAAGTATATCATAAATTCAGTGACAGCCGCCACAACCAATGCAGAAAAATGTTTGAATAAAATGTGAATTTGGAAGATTTTTCTGGTGTCATCTTCATATGGAGGAAGTCTGATAAATGGATAGTTGCCAAATCCTTGTATCTCAAAAAGACTTTTGAGAAGTTGAAGTGCTTGTACTTATACCTTTTGTTGACTGATCTGATGTTTTGCTTCAGTCCTTTGATCATGGTGCTGATGAATTATGCCATGAAGCCTTCAGACTGCAGACAGACATTGACAGAATAATCCTTTCCCTTATTGTTTTTGTACTGACCTTGAAATCAGTGGCAGCTTATAAAGGAACTTATGGTGAAATAGATAACCACAGATATTCCTGATAAAGCGCTGAATTTTCTTAAATGAAGACAGCATCAAGTCCATTGTGAAGTATCTTGTGAAAGATACCTCTCAGGTTTTCATTCATAAATTAGTGTAGAAAGCAGAATCTACATTGTTTCTTGGGAAGCTGTGAGCCTACTCCTGTCTTTTAGTTATTGATCTCCGTTGTTGTATTTCGTTACTTCTAACTTCTTGGAGGTGAGTTACCTCATTTCAGAACTTCAGGTGGCAGTTATACAATCAAAAATAAATGGATTATTTTATTATTTCTATAAATTAATTGATGGAATGGGCTTTGTTTTGGGGAGTAGTTGATACTCTTGATACATAAGAGATATCTAACGCATGGTGTTTTAATTTACTGATGACCCTAAAAATGTTTCACAACCTGAGTACACTTTATCTAACAGAAAACTGCTGATAATGAAGGGTCCGGGATAGGGTTGAAGCAAATTTCCTGAATGTGGAAGATACATTAATCTTTCCAGTTCATCTGGATTGCCAAATATGAATCTCTTTGGAAGTGACCACATCAAATTGAAATCTAATTGAATAGGATCTGACCAGCCACTTTTACTTGAGGACTTAGAATTTTGATCCAGTCCCATCTAAACCGTATCATGAAGTGCAAAAAAGTAAATATTTTATAATGGCAATAATAACAGTAATCTAATGAATATCTCACTGAATTTCTATGTTGTTAACACCAGCCATTTTGGTTCACTTGAACTCTATAAGTCTCCATTTCAAAGTGTGAACAGCATCGGTCACCCTAATGCAAGGAAAATTATATACTGAAAGAATTGAAACAGGTGTGTGGTCTGTTCTAAAGCAAAACTGGCAAAGGCCCTTCTTTGAGCTGGTGAAATGGAGAAAGGTGTATGGCACAGAATGGAACTGAACCAAGAGTGGGGAGAAATGGAGCATATGAATTACTGTGGAATAGTCTTTCTCATAACAATATTCATAATTTTTCTCAAGTAATTAAATACATATCCTTTTTTCCCCCCACAGTTTGCCATTAAGATTCTGGGTAAACATACTGAAAAATCCACATTTCATATTTGATGTGAAAGTTAATGAAGTAGTGGATGCATCCCTATCAGTGATTGCACAGACCCTCATGGATGCTTGTACGAAGACAGAGTACAAATTGAGCAGAGTAAGTATCTCAATTTCAACAGCAAACAACAAAAGTCTTAAACAAGTAGAAAACCTCCATTTCAGGTGTGCCAGGTGATGGTGAGACTATCAATTTCATAAAACTGCATCTTAGGATTTACTTGCATGGCACATATACTTGTCTGTCTATGACTCTGATTAACAAAAAAAAATTGCCTTTGTTCATGTAAGATGTATTTTTCTGATTTTTTAGGACTCTCCAAGCAACAAACTACTTTATGCCAGAGAAATTTCCACATACAAGAAGATGGTGGAGGAGTAAGTGGGAATAAAATAATTAATTTGACAAGCTTTGACAAACTTAAATATTAGATTCAAACTAATTTATCTTAATGTTCAACTTAATCACCTTGGGTTAGTGAACATTCATTTACTGGACTGTCAACAAAAAAAAAAACTTGTCTGAAGTTCCCATTCGGGTTTCATTTAAATTTGAGGTTTAAATGCACTTTCTTCATATGGGAAGAGTTTTCTTTAACTTTGCACGGTTCACTTTTCCTGGTATATTAGTTGAGATATTTGCCACTGGAATGTCAGATTGTCCAGTCAGGAAAAGTTACTGGCTTTCCTTTGGATGGCTCAGATATGGAGATTAAGAGACCTGTTTGGTGCACGACTGTTGAAATTGAAGAGAATTCCTGGCACCTGAGACTGTGTGTTCCAGATTGACCCATTTTTATCTTGTTTTGGGATAAACCAGGTTTGTAGTTGGAAGGCTGAGTTGTATTTTACTTTAAACTGTCTGTTCAGATTGATGGTTTTGTCTTTTTTTTAAAACAGCTATTACAGGGGTATTCGTCAGTTGGTACAAGTCAGCGATCAAGATATGAACACGCACTTAGCTGAAGTCTCAAGAGTAAGTTATATTTATAATTGTCACAGATGTAGTTAGCTGACCCGTAATCCAACTTCTAAACTGCTGAAAAGATTTGGGAGATTACCTGAGTCTATGGCCAGATGCACTAGATCACCTAAGTGAGTGAATACAAAGCAAACCATGGGAGTGGAATTTGCTGTAGATGCCTGCAGAGGAACCCACTAATATTCTAACAATAGAACATAAGAACTAGGAGCAGGAGTAGGCCGTCCGGCCCTTCGAGCCTGCTCCGCCATTCAGTAAGATCATGGCTGATCTTTTCGTGGACTCAGATCCACTTACCCGCGTTCTCACCGTATCCCTTAATTCCTTTATTTTTCAAATAAAACTACCTTATCTTTAAAAACGTTTACTGAAGTAGCGTCAACTACTTCACTGGGCAAGGAATTCCATAGATAATAATCCCAGGTGCAGACCCAGGAAAAAATTCCCACCTCTAAAAATATTCCTAACAGAAATAAGTTGTAGCAATGCTATTTTCTTTTTACTTTAATTTTCCTGCATTTTAATAATCCTATCTATAGATTTACTAAATTTGGATTAACTATTAGATCCATACTCCACACCAATTAAAATTCGTAAAATATGCAGCTTTTCAGTAAAATTTAAAATACTAATTCCAACAGACTAAACAGGCTAATGATGCATCTGATTCTACTCAAATAATGTGTCAAACAAACAAGGATTAAAAGATGAAAAGGAAGGTTGGTTACGAGGTGTGAGCAAAGGTATGAATAAATAGATGGATCTTCAGAAGTTTTTATAAAGTGGGGAGAAAAGTAGAGAGGCTTAGGTTGGAAGACCAAAGAAGAGGATTGCTATCGCTGATCACTATTCTTCTACTGAAAGTCAGAAAAACAAAGCATTCAGGAATGGATTTAGGGCTAGAACATTTTATAAAGGGCCTCTGGCAAGGATACAAAGGGCTTTATATTTAAAATTTAAGGATTGGCATCCAGAGACAAAGCGCGTGATGGGAAAGTGAGATCTATTGTAGCGTGTGATGTATGCAACAGTTTAGCTAACAAGCAAAAAGTTAGGGTTGCTGAATTTGAATGTGACCAAAGGCATGGATGGGAATTTTAGTTGCTTGAGGTTAGGTGGAGGTCAGCAATATGGAAACATAAGGTCTCTAGGTTATAGCATGTTCAATTTCGTTTTTTTAAAAAAAAACAAAGAACTGCGGATGCTGGAAATCAGAAACTTCAGAACTGAAAAAGGGTCACTGGACCCAAAACATTAACTCTGCTTTCTCTCCTCAAATGCTGCCTGACTTGCTGCGTCTGTCCAGCAATTTTTGATTTGGTTTCCAATTTCATTTCATGTTTATGCTTGAACAGGATGTTGAGAGTACCGAGTATAGCTTAGTGTGGGACTATAATGGGGAGGAGCGTAAAGATTTTGGTAAAGGACGATGGTTTGTGGCAGGACCTAAGGCAGTGACTTTGGAAAGATCAGTGTTGAATTGAAGGAAATTGTCACATTTTGGATGAATCACATCAAGGATGCAGTCTGACACCAGTGATGGAGTAATGCTGGATTTTATTTGCAAATGTGAGAAATCAATATTTTTATGGGTGTTGTTGCTAAGGTCAACTTGTGGATATGGAGATGGAGGAGCTCTGATGCAGATCCATGGGAATTGAAGTGATGGTATTGGGAAAGGGAATCCCTACAGTATGGAAGCAGGCCATTCATCCCATTAAGTCCACACTGAGCATCCCACCCAGACCCACCCTATCCCTGTACTCCTGCATTGGCATCTCACCCAGATCCACCACACTATATAACCCTGCATTCCCACGTCTAGTCCACCTAGCCTGCACGTCCCTGGACACCATGGGCAATTTAGCATGACAATCCATCTAACCTGCACATCATTAGACTGTGGGAGGAAACTGGAAGAAACCCGTGCAGGCACAGGGAGAATGCAAACTCAACACAAGACAGTTGCCCAAGGATGGAATTGAACCTGGGTCCCTAGCGCTGTGAGGCAACAGTGCTAGCCACTATGATGCCCATGCATTTGCATCATATGTTTAATTTATCACAGTTGGAGTTGTGGATTTTAAACAAATAAAAAAATGGAAAATATTATTATTATTAGTGCTCTAGCTTGTGTGTACTTCAGCAGATGAGCTCTGCTTGCTCATAGTTTGATTATTTTCCAGGCTCATACAGACAAACTGAATACTATGGTAGCATTGCATCAGTTATACCAATACACAAACAAATACTACGATGAGGTGAGTTTTTAAAAATATTGACGGTTGTTTCGGTTTCTGCATATATTCATTACCTCATTATCAGTTCGAGTACTTTTAAACAATTGCCGCTACATTTTACTTTAAGTAAATATAAAAACATAACTTAACCATATCAAGGTATACTGATTGTGTTATAAATCTTTTGAATACTTAAAGATAACTAATGATCATTAGAACTTTGCTCATAAGCCACATTAGTTTTTAATTATATTCATTAAATACTTTTTTTTTAAGATATGTTACTCTAAGAGACAAATATCCTTACATTTGATGTGCATTTATTGGATATATGTGTGATTATGGTATATTATACAATGTGTAGTTTCATGCCAGTATTAACATAATAACATTGTCTGCCTTTACAGATAATAAATGCCTTAGAAGAAGACCAAGCAGCACAAAAGATGCAGCTCTCTGTCCGTCTGCAACAAATAGCAGCTGCACTGGAGAATAAAACAACAGACCTTTGACATGACCATTTTACATAATGAAAGCTCAGATGTTAAATTTTATTACTTAGAAAAGAAAATAGTGTTATTTTTACTCTTCCAATCACGTTTGCAGTTCTTAATTCAAAGTCTGAAATCCATTATTTTGTAAATTAACTAATATTCTATAATATTGTATTATAAACTTGGTCTATAAAACCTGTGGAGAATTGTCAAGTAAATATATAAACAACCTAGTTGCTGAAATTAGATCGTGTTGTACTGATCTACATGGTTATTTTAAAAAAAAATGTAAATTATCTGAGCCCTAAAAAATGCTTTCATGATTTGGCCCACAATTATGCTAAACTCTTTCACAGTGGGTTGAGTCTTGTACAGTATGTTGCCTTCTAATCTAAAGCTTCACTGTTGATTGCAAGCTTTTTTCAAATTTAATATTACAACCATTAATAACAGTACTGCCATTTATGTGCATTCTGATACATTTTCTAGCTGTCACAATTGAAAATGGCATGATTTTTATACTTATCATTTTATCCTGTCCAAATTGGCATTTTGACAGAAATCGTGGAAACGTATGAAAAAGTCTTTTCGTAATTGTATGTAATACAGACCAAGTAGAGGATGCTTGTAAATTTATGTTAAAATTACATTTTAGAGGATTTTTTTTTTACAAATAGAACTAGTGACTACTGAAATGTCTTTTGATATTTTTGATATAATTTGGGAGATGGAATTGCAAATAAATTCAGCTTTTTATTTACTTTCTTATGAAGAGGTTTTCTTTATTATTTTTTATATATTTATTATATACATATCCTCTAGTATCATAAAAAGCAAAGTGTGCTGACTTAAGTAGCCTATCTTAAGTGGAAATCCATTTTACCTGGTTGAAAACAAACAGTACGTCAGACCAGCAAAATCCAAAGCCCATCTGGTATGTACTTTGCACTTGAAACATACAAGTTACTGTTCCATCTAACATATCAAATCATTTGCTGTTTTATTTGCATTGTGCATTCATAACCATTAGACATGAGGAGTGCAATATTAACTGATACAGCCAGCAGTTCTGATGTTTGCACTCCTCTGTCACTATAGACAATTCAGTTCATTTGCTTCGCATTCGTATTATATTTTCTAATCAACCTGTTCAGGGATGTTATTACAAATTCATGGAGCAGGTAGAACTTGAACATAGCCCCTCTGGTCCATTGATGGAACACTAGTACGTTGCCACAGGAGATTCTCTGACGTCTGTATCACATATTTACGTTTTTAATCAAACTGGTCAAATATTATTACACACTGCAGGAGCAGGTGTGACGAACCTTCGTCTTCTGGATCAGGGGCAGTGACACTATACACTGTGCCACAAAAGTCCCTTTAATATTTGTATTCATTTTTCTCTTTTTTTTAATATCCAGAGTTTCTTGCACACAAGTAAATGCTTCTTTTCCTCCACAAATCACCTGTGGTATTTTTTAAATTTATTAACTACCACCTCTAATTCACCTGCCCGTTAAGGCCAATGTATACCATCAAAGGTGAAGGTGAGCTTAGGTGAGGGGAATGGGGCTTAACACTTGGATAATTGCAGTTGATAATCAGCAGCATACATGAGTCCTTAGATACTGAAGCTGTGTACGTATGTCCAAAATGTAATAAGACCTGGTCAATATCCAGGTTCGGGCTGCTAAATGGCAACTGGCATTTGCACCACAGAAAGACCATCTCCAATAAAAGACAATCCAACCGTTACCCCTTGCTATTCAATGAATTCAGAAGTTAGGAATTTTGCAGTGAGCAACCCACCTCCTGACTCTTCAAAGCCTGTCCATTATCTACATGACACGAGACTTCCTCATAACTTAGTTCCACTGGCACCTACAAATCTCATCATTTCTTTCCAGTGTTTAATAAACTTGTTTTACTAATTATATTTATTTTTTAACTGTACTGACAATGCTCACATTGCATTAATGTCCCATTTTCGAGCTGAAATTGTAGTCTTCTAAAAATGAAATAAACCTGTTCACGCATGTTATGACACATTAGGTAGGAGGGATGTGAACCTGGGCCTTCTAGCCTCGAGGAATGGACAATACTGCTGCACCACAAGAGTTCTTCACTTCCAACTGAAAACTGCTATGGTTCATTTTACTTAATGATTGGTATCAGCTCAACCAATAGATTCATCACACAGAGATAGCAAGAACTGCAGATGCTGGAGTCAGAGTCAACACAGAGTGGAGCTGGAGGGGCATAGCAGGTCAGGCAGCATCAGAAGAGCAGGGAAGTCTATGTTTCAGGGCTTACATCTGATGAAGGGTCCTGACCCGAAACATTGACTTTCCTGTTGATCCTTGGTTTTAAACTCTGTAAAACATTGGATTGTGTTTGAAAGTACAATTGGGTTAGGGTTTTGTCCTTTTTGCCCCAGTCTATCACAACTGAGCTACAGTTGTGATTACATAAATTCTTGCAATATGTATATATTTAAGAGGAACAGACTAGACACAATAATGGAATGTAAACACACAATGGAGGAGTAAAAGAAATGGCACAGAATAAGGTTCATAGTGAGCTGTCGCCTTTTCAAATAGCTCAAATGCAACTAGATTAAAGGAACAATGTTATCTCTAGGGTGGTAATCTTTACGCCATGTGCCTGGAAAATGACAACTAGATTGACTGTCCACTTTAAATATCACTCAATTTGACTTTCCCAACAGGTAAGTTAAACTAAAATTATTCCATTTAAAATTTATATACCAATAACACACTGGTGATTTTATGATAGAAGCTTTGCTGTACATTTAGCCTACTAACTCTGCAATTTCTCACCTCTGCGTCTCATCAAACTCCCAAATGCTGAACCCTTTCTCCTAATGACCTGGAAAGTGCTTTTACATTCGCAATATCTAGTTAATTTGTAGCCTGTCAGTTTTCCTTGTCACTGTTATATATGACTACCTGCAATAGAGAAACAACATATGAACTCATTGAACTCCGAGTAAAGCTATAAACTGCCAAAACAGAACTAATATTGAGGAGAAAAAAGGATACTAGAATAAGTACAAAATTAACTAAGCATTCTTATGGAAAAATGCAGTTTATTGTAATTGAGTTTACAACATAGTGCAGTTATAATGTTTTATTGTATTAACCTTTACATAATAATCATGATGTCAATACTTCAGATGATATATGTGACAAGAATGTATTTAATATAGGAATAACACTTTTAACACAATCTGCCATTTTATAAAGTGTTCAAAATTTAACAACATCTAACATTTGGGGGACAGGGATGTGGGCATTAAACGTTGGCCTAGTTACTAACACTCAAATGAATTTTTAAAAAATCATCTCAGCGCCAATACCAGTGAGTTTTTGCATGTCCTGTCCAAGGTAGTAGTTTACATTGCTACCATCATAAAATCAGAGATGGGATGTTCACTGATGATTGATTGTACACTGTTCAATACTACTCACAACTCAAGTAACTCAAATCCATCTATGTCAATAAGCAGCAAGACCAGGACAACATTCAGACTTGGACTGATATGTGGCATAAATGTTATTTGCTGCTTAAATGGCAATGAGCATCTTCTGCAAGATATAATTTAAACTTGTTGCCTTGGCATTACTATTGCTGAACACTCCAGATTTGCCAACAACACATGGACTGCAGTGGTAGAAGATGGTGTTCACCACTAGTTTCTCAAGAGCACTTAGGAATTGTTGTATGAGTGTGTGTATGTATATACTTAGTTTAGTCTTCAAAATACATATGACTATTTTAAATAATTTTTAATTCAATAGGACAATTCAGAACATTCTGGATTGGCATTTCGAGTCACAGCTTAATTCACAAGTCCACTTTGTGACCACTTATGGTGTCCATCTGTTCTCATTATCCTTCTGAACACAACCTGTAGTCACATCAATTATAAACTTAATTTTTAAGTGCAACAATGATATTCCTGACAATCAATGGATCACTTATTTGCCTATACTAGGCCAGTTTGTCCTTAAATTCAGTAGGATTTCAACATCTTGTGGGGCCAGTTTATAAACTCCAATTTCATTCAAAGCTGCAGTAGCTGTGTGCCATTCAGAACAGGCAACTGCATCAATCATATTGCTAGAATTAGTCTGTAGCACTTCACGTAACAACAGCGCCGATCCCACATTCAGATTCAGGATGACACAAGCTTCTTTCACCCTAGGGTAAAAAATAAAATCTAAGAATGTTTCATCTCAATCAACATTCTTGAAATTATAAATGTTTGATTAATACTGAATCTTTACACAATTGAAAATTATTTCCCGTAAGTAAAACAACTCCAGATAAACTCTCACAATTGATATTCAACGATATTTTCTAATCAACCTGTTTAGAAATGTTAGTATGCACCTCTGGAGCAGGTGGGACTTGAACCCAGGCCTCTGAGCTCAGAGATAGGGACATTACTACTGTCCCACTAGAGCCCTCAATTGACAATTATATAATTACAAAACGCTTCAGAACTGTGACAAATCGAAGTGATTGAGCACTACTAATAAGTGAACTTGGGTACATTTTGAAAATCCTTTCTCAATTTGACCAAATAAAATGATAGATAATAAAATTAAAGCTAGATCTAGACAGGAAAACCAGATTGACAACCAAAGTTAATTCAAGAGATTTTAAAAACTTTTAAAATGATACACGGCAATCTGACAATTATAAATAAAGCTTCGCTTTTATTTATTTAACCAGTAACTTTTCTGCATGTATTATGAATTTGAAGCTTCTGAATAGGAACATTAACCAACATAATACTATGAAAAATCTGCGGATGCTGGAGATCTGACTCAAACTGAAATTGCTGGAAAAAACCAGCAGGTTTGGCAGCATGTGTGAAGGGAAAACAGCATTACTGTTTCAAGTCTGGTGACCCTTCTGCAGATTTGATAGCTGCTAGGAAAAGGTGGTTTGTGTGTGTGTGTGTGTTTTTTTTTCGGGGGGGGGGGGGGGGGGGGGGGGGGTGGAGGGGGGTGTCTGAGAATGGGGCGAGACAGAGAGAAAAAGAGAGCAAAGGAGTGAGCGGATACGTGGAAAAGGAACCCAGAGGGAGAGACAAAAAAAAGCGAAAAGACAAAGGGATTGTTGATAGCCAGGGAAGAAGAGAAGTTCAATAGTTAAGTTGAAGTGGCAGGCAACTGGGTCATTTTGGATAGGATGAAGATATTTTGCAAAATGGTCACCCAATCTGCATTTCATCGCCCCATTGTAGAGGACACTGCATTGTGAGTAGCGAATAAAGTAGTCTAGACTGAGTAAAGTGTGGCATACCTTGAAGAAATGTAGCAGTGAATTAAACACTGAAATAAATATTAATTAGTTATTTTGTTTGACTACTTATAGAAAACTTATGTAAATAAAAAACTTCAGACATGAAATTGCTGGATGTGACTGAAGCAGTAAGATAACATTCAGAGATAACAAGGTGTAGAGCTGGATGAACACAGCAGGCCGAGCAGCAAGGCTGACGTTTCGGGCCTAGACCCTTCTGGACTTCTTTAAAAACAAAGGTTATAGGAATTTAGAATAAATACATTGAAAAGCTATTAAATATTAATCCAAATCCCTTTTGAACATGTATTCTGATTTAAGGAAAGGTATGGAGAAACAACATAATTCTAATTGCACATGCACACTAGGTTGGACCGCCTCCTTTGCCTAAATTTTATACCAAGCGGCATTCATTTGCAA